TGTAGATACTTGGGCTTCAACTTCTTATCAATTTCTAAAAGAACATTGAGAAAGATCTCAGACATCGTATATTAATGGAGCTATCATCATCATTTCTGTCCATAATTATACATCTTATCACTAACAAACATTTAAGTCACACAAAATATGCAATATTTCATATCAAACTTTTCTAATTACACTTCTCCTTTAAACTTGTGTCAAGTCAAAATGTGTCATTTAAAAATTATAGAGATCATATCATGAAACATCTTAACAATACTTCAATTATTAGATTTATGAGCCATGAATACATTATGATTATAAAAATGTAGGAATTTTCTGAGTCAATTTTCACCTTCTAAATCTACATGCCAACATAACTCATCCAACAATTTTCACCTTCTAAATTTATTTTCACCTTCTACATTACAATTCACAACAACCTTAGCATTCTACTAAATGATCCAAACCATACATTCCTATGCATCTAAAAAATACCACCCATATCCATAATATTATGTAATAACATTTGTTTCAATACCGGTTTTGTTGTTTCATTATAATTTTTTCTTAATTGATTAACTGATACAACATTATCTTTTGTTTCATTCAAAGGCTCACAAACCTCCTCATCTTGATGCTCACAGAACAATGAACACAACTTTTTAATTTGTTAAGACTCATTTACCCAACCTATGAAAAATAGAACAATCGCTATCATTATATGTTTTGTCTATTCACCCATGCATGCATGATTCCATTTGCATCTTAGTATTTTACCCTAACAAAATAGTTCATTCAAAAGCTATGTCATGTATCTAACTTTCATTGCAACATTACCCTAAAATTAGGTTAAACAGAAATAGTACTATATACTTGATATTGGTAATTAAGTCTCAGATCAATGTCTGTTTTATTCTTTTAGGCGTGATTTAAATATTTGTTTAATTATATGTTGGTTTTGAGATATAACTAACACTAGTAATATTTAACTTTATTCATGGCAATGTTAAGAAAACATTGTTTCAAACATAAAAGTGAAACTAGTTCTCATACAACAATTGTGATATGACAAGAAGAATCTGAATAACTTTTTGAATAAAAACTCCATTTCTTGGTAGATCAGATTTATTAGGGTAAGGAGGACCTTCAGAATCCTCTCCTGAAATGCATTCATTAATATCTACTATGACAGAAATTGAAGCAAGATTAACACCAAAATAATATTCTTTTTCCAACATTTCTTCAGTGTAATCAAGTTCAACTAGGGCACCCTCATCTTGCCCAAAGAACAATAAACACCGTTCATAATGAGATTTTGCTATGGTATCATTGCTACTATTTGAAATCAAATTCATGATTAGGGTTACTGAGTTTGTGAGATTAAGACGAGCGATATTAATGGTGTGATAAGCAAGACTAACGAGATCTGCACCTTCTACTCCACCGGGCTTTGACTTTAAAATTGTTAAACAAAATGAAGAGTTTCTGTATTGTTTGCAAATTTCATTCACATCTACAACTTTTGCTGCATACGAGGATTCTGCAAATAAAACAAATATTAGCACAAAGAAAGAGATTAAGGAAGGTTTAATGGAGAAATAAGACATTGTGTTGTGTTGTGTTGTCTTGTGATTTTTTCTTCCTGTTTTTTTCACTGTTTGATTTGGTGATTAGGATTGAAAATAGTTTTGTATTTATAGAATAAATAAAGTGAAAATGAATATGTATGGAGTGGAGAATGGAGATTTTAAAAAATAAAATGAAATTAATGAGACATTTCTATAATAAAATAATATTTTTGTCATTAAAAAATAAGAAAATTGAAGTATTTGTTTCTCTATTACTATTACCGGAGAGGGTCTCTATTTGCATGGAGTAATAGTAAGAGTTTTATACATTCTTACTATTTATTCATCGTTCAAATTTTATTATTATTCACTATTGAACAAAAATACAAAATGGACAATTCTTTAGACCAAAATATTACAATCAGTAAATAAAATGCATGCAAGATTTGAGGTTATTTAATAACTGATCATTTCTGATATTTCTTGAATGTATATTCATTAAATCAGTATCTAAAAAGAGAGAATGAAGAGATTCAATATTTGACTCCCAAGATTTGAATATATTTTCATTAATTATTGAAACTACTCGTGATATATGAATGATTGTATTCATTATAATGTCTATATGGTGTCAAATCAACCAAATTCAATCATGAGCTAAGATTTTATAGTTAACCAGTAGGTTACTCGTGCATGCACACGGGTAGTAATATGGATTACGTGAATTTAAATAAATAGTAAAAACATAAGTAGATAATGACTTTTTTGATAGAAATTAAATTTAGAACGTTGTTTAAAAGTAATATATTGTTGATGTGAAGCTGTTGACAAAATTGAATGATATTCTTCCTATAATGTTATAGTAAGAAAATATGATAAGAACACCATTTTAGAACATAATGTCAAATAAGTTATAGTATATATGTTAGAGATTTTGAAAATTTTCTTTGTAGACCACATTTGTTGTTGATTTAAGTGGTTTACCATCCTTGTGATGTATTAAAATCTTCAATTCCTTTTTTGTTTGAACTCTCGAAATAGCCACATATAACTGTCTCTGACTAAATGCTGGTCTTGGTAAATACAATCTCACGCTTTGTAATGACTGACCTTGAAATTTATTGATTGTCATCGCATATGAAAAATTTATAGGAAATTGTTTTCTTATAAGCGTGAATGACCATAGAGTAATAATTACGTAATTACGGTAATAATTGTAAAATTATCTCCAAAAATTTTAATTTTAAAATTACATATTAATTCCTAAAATAACTACGGTAATAATTACATATTTACAGTAGTAATTATAAAATTATCCTCAAATTCCTATTTAATATATAGAAATTTTTAATATCTCCACCATTACAGTAATTTTATGCAAATAATATAACTCACTAATATTAATTCTTGAAGCGAAAGTATTTGTGAACTATTTACCTTTTTCTTCTAATTAGTATTAAAAAAATATTTTTATAGAATAAATTTATTGTCTATCATTTTTTTCAGTTTAAAATTAGTAATTATGAATATACTTTCTCCAAATTCCAACAATAATTAGAGAAATAATTACGTAATTACATTAATAATTACAACATTTATTATCTATTATTTTTTCAGTTTAAAATTAGTAATTATGGATATACTTTCTCCAAATTACTAAAATAATTACAGTAATAATTACGTAATAACATTAATAATTACAAAATTATCTCCAAATAATTATGGATATAGTTTCTCCAAATTCCTACAATAATTACAATCAAAATTACGTAGTTATAGTAATAATTACAAAATTTTCTCCAATTTACTATTTATAATAATTACATAATTACATCACTAATTACAATTTTATCTCCAAATTCCTATTTATAATAATTACATAATTACATTAAAAATTACAAAATTATCTCCAATTTTTTTCAATTTAAAATTAGTAATTATGGATATATTTTCTCCAAATTTCAACTATAATTAGAGTAATAATTACATTATTACAGTAATAATTACATTATTACAGTAATAATTACAAAATTATCTTCAAAAAATTTCAATTTAAAAGTACATATTAATTCATACAATAATTACTGTAATAATTACATACTTACAAAAATAATCTAAACCTTATCCCCAAATTCCTATTTAATATATAGAAATTTTTAATATCTCTATCATTACAGTAATTTTATGCAAAATAATATAACTCACTAATATTAATTCTTGCAACAAAAGTATTTGTGAACTATATATCTTTCTTCTAATTAGTATTAAAAAAATATTTTTATGGAATAAATTTATTGTGTGTCATTTTTTGAGTTTAAAATTAGTAATTATGGATATACTTTCTCCAAATTTCAACAATAATTAGAGTAATAATTACGTAATTACAGTAATAATTACAAAATTATATCCAAATAATTATGGATTTTTTATGTTTAAAATTAGTAATTATGGATATACTTTCTCCAAATTCCAATAATAATTACGTAATTATAGTAATAATTACAAAATTATCTGCAAAAAATTTCAATTTAAAATTACTTATTAATTCATACAATAATTACAGTAATTTATACTACTTATTATGTTTTCCTATTTTACTCTTTACCATTTATAATTTCATTTTACATATAATATATATATTAATCTATACTTCTACACTTCTTATATATCTATCTATACTACTTAATAAAGCCAAAACTTAATATAATCACCTCATCATGATGTAATTTTTGTTCCTATTTTGTCTTTACTATTTTTTTATTTATACTAAAAAACCATATAGCCTAATGTCCCTTTTAACCCAATGGATGTTCCATGTTATTTGGTTAACTATTTCTTCTTTACTACATTAAGTATCAGTTTTTTTTCTCAGCAAAATGTGGAACATGACAAATTAGTTTAATTTTTTTGCTCCTATTTTTTTTCTTTACACAATATGGAAGATGGCAAATAACCATCATAGTATAATAAAACTAAATTATATTACTAATATATAAAGGAATATTCTAATACGTAAAGGAAAACATATTCTAAATCCTAATTTGGAGTAATTTTTAATTCACTAATTTATCCTCAACCATCAGATAGTTTTAACTTCTACAAAACTGCATGTAACTTCCTTACAACTTCCATAATTAAAAATCACATAACTTTTTACATAATTTTCTTACTTTTTTCCACTATTCTTACTTTTTTCAACCACAAAAAGAAATCCTCAAGGATTCTAAATTCCAACATTTTGTGTTATGAACTCTTCATTCTTCATTGAACTCAGGTTTTCCAATGTAAATCAATGACATACAATACTCATTGGATAAGTTATAACGTCATCTATGATAGTAATTTAGGAACCACGACAACAACACAATTTTTATATAAATTGTGGAACTTTAAGATAAGGAAGATGTTTCGTTCATCCTCCAACCAAAGATAAATGGACACATTCTTTAATATATTTTGGGGTTAGTATTTTGTTGGAACTGAAACTTACATGGTTTTGTTTGCACTTTATATTGTATTTTTGACATGGTTTTTGATTATTATGTCTTTACTCTAAGCTTTGATTTTTTTTAGTGATTTTAAAGACTAAAGTTTTTAACATTTGTAGGTAGTATATTGCAAAGTTGATCAATTGTTGTGAGTATACTAACTTTCAGTCTTCTATCTTAGGTATGTACTCTAATTATGGTTTACCTTTCTATTTACCTATATTTGGTTCTGATTTGATATAATTTTAAACATTACTCAGAATTATTACTAAATATTAACTTTACATTTAATTTAAATATTTACTAAATTATACTAGACACTTTGAAATAAAGAATAATATCATCTATTTTAATATATTTAATCATCAAAATCTTAACTAACATTTTAATATATTTAATCATCAAAATCTTAGCCCAACATAACATGTCAAAGATGAAACAAAATAGACATTTAGAGCACACAATTATAAAAATTAGTAATTATCATTTAGAGCACAAAATTATAGAAATTAGACATTTAGAGCCCAAAATAGACATTTATCATTATAGAATTTAGTAATTATCATTCAGTAATTACTAATTAGACATTTATCACTATAGAATTTATCATTATAGAAATTAGACATTTAGAGCACAAAATAGACATTTATCATTATAGAAATTAGTAATTATCATTTAGAATTAGTAATTATCATTTAGAAATTAGTAATTACTAATTAAACATTTAGAGCACAAAATAGACATTTATCATTTTTTCAGTTTAAAATTAGTAACTATGGATATACTTTCTCCAAATTCCAACAATAATTAGAGAAATAATTACTTAATTACAATAATAATTACAAAATTTATTGTCTATCATTTTTTCAGTTTAAAATTAATAATTATTGATATATTTTCTCCAAATTCCTACAATAATTGTGTAATTATAGTAATAATTACAAAATTATATCCAAATAATTATGGATATAGTTTCTCCAAATTCCTACAATAATTACAATCATAATTACGTAGTTACACTAATAATACAAAATTTTCTTCAATTTCCTATTTATAAAAATGACATAATTACAGTACTAATTACAAAATTATCTCCAAATTCCTATTTAAATTGGATGGTATTTTAAAGAATATATCAATTAATTATATTCCTAGAAATAACATGTTATTCGATGACATACTCTAGGCTTGGTTTAAACATGATATTTTCATTACACATTCAAACATTAAATCATGAATTAAGTATCAAACCAAATATGAATTAGAAACAATAATAGACATGAAAACACGGTGTAATAGTATTAAAAACAAATCAAATAGACATATTGGATATATCAAGTTTATATAGTTACATCTAATCCTAAAAAAAAAGAGTTTACCTATTGATTTTCATGGAAACCAAACTCTTATTACTTGACATTCTTCTTCTAGCAAGGTTGTAGGGAGTTGTTTTTTAATTTCAATCATAAGGTTTCGTACTGATTACAATCATATACTACCATATTTATTTTTATTATGATTAGTGAAAAACATCAATCCAATTGTTCTTCACTTAGGCCTTGCTTCTTTTATTTTATCTTCTCCTTCCTCCTCCCACGATGATTTTACGTAGTTCTTTAAAAGGGTCTAAAGTAGAAGTTTAGTGACACCTCCGCATTGTTTATTTTTTTATTTATTGTTACTCAATAGGATATGTGATTTAGATTTTGATGTATAGAGACGCATAAATTTTATTGTGATAATCCAATGGTTAGTTAATACATGTCAAAATTGTATAAAAAATTAACATCTAAAACACTAACCACTACTAAATCACTCAATAAATTTGTTGTTAACTTACGATATTAGTTTACTTATTTAATAATACCGTAACAAAAACGTGGTTAGAATATACAATTATAAGAGAATGAATGAAAATCGTGGTTAACTATAGATAACACCGTAACTATTGTTGAATTTAATAGACATATTGGATATATTTTTTTAGATGTTATGTTCTGTTTTCTGAACTATTTGTGATGAATCCTTAACCTGTGGGACTTCCAAAGGAATGTTGAGTTTCTATGATAATTTTGTAGAAGATGTTATGTTGCTCTAGTAGAAAGTCATATGGCACAGAGTAAGAGGTTTAAAATAAGTCTTTAGAGAGATTCCTGTGAAAGAATCATGATTAATGGTTTAAAACAATATAGCTACCTATAATAAGAAGGAAACTATGAAGTTCCTCCAATAGTGAAACAATAGCTTATATGTATATAGGCACGATGCAAAAGGTAGCTTGTTTTCAATTGAAATCAACAAACACCCGTGTCTGACTCTGTGCCAATAATTAACAATAGAAAAATATGAAATCAAGAAAAGACTATTACCAGAAAATTGTGTCTTGAAAGAAATTGAGTTTAATTTCAAGGATCTTCATCTGGTATTTTAATTTAGGCTCTAAGCGGCAGTCAGATAACTATGAATTAAGCTCCCGCTGTTGACTCGATTATAGAGAGCCATTCCTCATTTTCTACCTCAAATCTAATTAAACTTCAAAAGTGAAAAGAAACTATTAACTATGATTGAAGGAGGAGAAAGAGTTAGATCTGGTTCAGAATGACGAAATATATATACTCTTGATGGAAACCCTAATGTTTTTCGGATAAATTACCAAAATGCCATTCAATCCCTTTAGATTATTTGGGCCTTTTAGATTATTGATTTTATTGGTTGTCATTCTCTTATTGGTTCAAGGTGTTTGGAAGTTGTTCCTTCAACCTGATTGGCTACGGTAGCTTTTTTTCTGCAACAGGTGGTAGCTTATTTATAATCATCTTATTGACCGCTCAAAAAAAAATTAGACCTACTTGAAGAAGAAAAAAATGTTCGAGGGTTGTAGCTTCAGAAATAGAGACTATGGCTTATGAAAATTAGCTTTTTTTCTAAAATTTGTAAGATAGGATTTGGAGAATGCAAAAAATTTATCTCATTTTGGCTCTTCAAGTATTCAACAGATGATTTTTACCCCAATTTAATGTATATTTTAAGTAAATAACAAATTTTAGCTGTCAAATAGCTTCGGAGTTCAGACAACCTTTTACATGATTTCATAGATTTCAATTAGTTTGAAACAGAACATAAAGCACCAAGGTTTATGATGACATCTTCAGAAAAATCATTCAAAATAGCTTGTGATTTTTTTGTAAGTTTTACCATAAAGCTAATTCTATAACTTTTTACCATTTGAGAAAAATGTATACATTGAATGAATGATGGATAAAAATATGCATAAACCATGTTTTGTTAAAATTTGGGCACCAAAGTCTAAAACCTAATCCCATTCATAGCTCTGATCAAGTTAACTACCATGTTAATGCATGTTTGATATATAAACTGAAATTATTTTCATGATATATTCTGGTACCTAGAATGTAAAACGGACAACCACGATCTATACATTGTTACTTTAGTCAAAACTAAAGACAAACAGGATACTACATATTCTCCATCAAGTTTCTGCTGTGTTTTCCATCTTATGCTTAGTTCCTTTAATTCTGATAGTATACTCAGAGTAATGAAAAATTCACTAATAAATTGAAAATAGGATCCGGGGGCATGATAATGTTTCCATCTTATGCTTAGTAGTAGTACTTGCAAACTCATGAAACAAAAATCTTACTGCTAAATTAAGACAAGATAAATGTTTAATAATGTTTCCATCCCAACGCAGAAAAGCTAGGTATTTCAATAATGTCAAAACAACCACAAATATAAAATACTACGACCAACAATTCAGACAATCCAAAATCAACAGACTACAAATCAACTCTGAGGTGGTGATGTTTTCGCAACAGTACCACCACCCTGTTGAGCAGTCTGGGTACCATCATAGCTTCCCCGAGTACCTGCATTACCATCACTGCCATAAGCTGGAGGCTGAGCGTAACCAGCACCATAAGAACTGTTGCCATACGATGGCGGTGCCTGACCATAACCTGGTTGACCACCTGAAGCAGAACCATATGATGTGGCACCATATGCACCACCATATCCAGAAGTTGGGGGCTGGGAAGAAGGATACCCTGACTGACCATAGCCTGCTGCTACAGTTTTAGGTGATTGTGACTGTCCATAAACTGGTGGAGTAGCACCAGGCTTTTGAGACTGTGGAGGTCCATAACCAGAGGGGGCTTGAGGTTGATTGCCATAAGCTGCTTGGGAGGTTGGGGGCACCCCATAACCTGGCTGAGCAGATCCTTGTGGTGGATAGTTAGCAGCGTGTGGGCTAGGCTGTTGGCCAGAAGCATAACCTTGCTGGGTCACTGAAGAGGGTTGGACAGGTGGAACCTGGGTTGAGTCTGCCTGTGATCCATAATTAGGAGTGTGTCCCTCTTGTGTTGTGTTGTTCCCACCACCATAGCTTGGGGCTGATCCATAACCTTGCTGCTGATCATATGATGGTGGCTGACCATACCCGGACTGCGCTTGTGCATTATACGCACCATAGCCATCCTGAGCATAGCCCTGCCCAGACTGGTTATAACCAGAAGCAGGTGGTTGACTGTAATTATAGGCAGACCCATCACCTGGAGGTGCAGCACTGCCAGGATTTTGTGGTTGCTGAGATGGAGGCTGTTGACTATAGTAATCATACCCAGAACCATGAGTAGACTGCTGGGAAGGTGGTGCAGCAGACTGGTCCCAACCAGTGGAATATCCACCAGCTGACTGGGGAGGGTAGCCAGCATATTGTTGCTGAGACATGTTATACTGGGGTGATGGACCAGAGTACGCTCCGGGCTGCACATAGCCATAACCAGGTTGCTGTGCAGGAGCACCAGGGGGAGCCCAGCTAGAGGGTGGTCGGGCTTGGTAACCTTGCTGAGGATAACCACCAGTTGCTGGATTTCTAAAACGATTCTGTAGTAAGGAAAAATTTGTTACAAATAAAAACAAGTTAATTCACCCAAGATATGGGAGTACATACAGCAACAAAAGCACCAAACCAATAGACAAAGTAAAGCATACATGATACACAGCTAAACATCAACATATAAATAACACAATGGTTATAATATTTTTGACAGATTCCATTCAGGATCAGAAAGGGGTTAAGGCCTACATACCGTACTGGTTTGTGACATTACTGAGTGAGTCCAGCAGAAGCACAACCCATCTCCCTATTCGAAATGAATGGGTACAAAAGGAAAGCACAAACAATAGAAATAGACAAGTATACTATCTTTACTTACTCAAGAGGCAATACAGTATAATGTATTTCAAAATATGGGATTTATTCCAATTGTTACAGTATAAATCATTATCAGTAATTCTACAAGCTAAATTTCAAGAATAACACATATCGACAGCATAAGAGAAGTACAAGCAACGATAAATCCAGAATCTACAGACTGTCCCTCTAGACAGCCTCTCTTCACCCCAAGTACATAAGAAGACCATCCTCCCAACCTTCCCTCCATCGGATCTAAAGAGGTCAACCTCAATGAGCCATCAAATAAAACCACATGTAATCTCACCATGGGAATCCAAACAAGGGCAAAGATGAAGACACAAAAATGTAGAGTTGAGGTTCAAGAACTATAAATAAAAATGTCACAGATAATGACAGACAAAATAAGAGAATGGGCTTAAAAGGGGGGAGGCACATTCTACATGATGAGGAGGTAAGATGTGAAATGGCACATTCTACACGATGGAACAGCTGAAAAATATTCAAAATAATTGTCTTCAAGATCATACAATAATTGGTAGTTGAAACGTCTAGAAAACTGAAAATTGGGCAGAAATAACAAAATAGATAAAATAGTTTAAGAGCTACAAAATGGAAAAGCTTCAGGTTATTAAGACAAATTGGTACTCCAGCATAAGAGATAAGTGCATAATAATTTTTTTTGAGCAACTAAAAAACCACAAATGGCATTTTAAAAGAATATTTAGTGAAACATCTAGCATATTAAAAGAAGGACAGTAATAACATAGAACATGAAAAGCTAAGAGCTTCACTTCACCATGACCAAATTTCAGGTTATTATGCCAAATTAAATCTAGCTTAAGACAAGCCAACAATTTTTAAAGTGTGTGTATATATATATAATAGTGATTTAAAGATAAGAACTGAAAGGCACAAATAGATTTTTTAAACGGACATCCAAATGACAATTTAATCTCCAATGCAATTATAAGTTATCACATTGCATAATTAGAAGACTTAACATTGCATAATTAGATTACATAAAAATGCTGAGAGATCCACATTGGACTAGTTACAGGTTATTGTGCTAAATGTAAATCCAGCTTAAGAAACAAGAACCAAACACTTGGTCAAATATATAATAGTATTGGAGTACTGAACTGAAAGGCACAAATGGCATAGGATAAAAGGATGTCAATATGATAATTTATATCCAGTCCAACTGGGACCCCGCAAAGACGAAAACAGGAGACTTACTGCCGGAGAATAAATAGTAAAAATGAGAATTAGAACCATACCATGGCATACTGAAGGAATACCAACAAAGACAAAGGGATTCCATGTTGGTGTCACTAATGGTCCAATACATACTAACCTACAAACACTCTCAATAATAAGATCAGTTAAAGGATACATTGTTAATAAGGATGTTCCATTTTGACCAGGCTTTCATCCCAATAAGTATCCACTTTCACCAAAAAGACAATGGCATAACTATGGAAACCTTTATATCCCCAAGAACCTAAACCACCGTATAATGATAACAGCAAAACTTGCCACAGTTAAAAACCTAGCAAGAGCTTGGTGTCAAAGATAACAAAACTAATACATCCAAATTTGAATGAAAATGTCTTTTGTCACCCTCGGTCAATTTAATGGATACATGAATATAAGACGCTAACAACATATGTATTCATTTACTTAACATAAGACTAGCCACAGACACACAAACTGCATGTACCTACCCGTACAAAAGAAACTTAACAAGTAAAAACTGGATGTTCCCTGGAAGTTCATGAAAAATTAACACGTACAAAGTACAGGTCATATGGAAAACTACTTCTAATGAGTTTTTGAAATAGGGAAGAGAATCAGAATTTAACTGCATAGTAGAGATTAACAGTAGAAGCTGGACATTATCAATTTAGTGCATCTTCTATTTTGGTGTGCACATCTATAGCACAGGCTTGAAAGCTTCCAGCACAATAAGAAAGATAGAGCCAGAAAATTAATAAAGGATGTGAAAGCTTGCAATCTTTTGCATCTGATAAGAATATTGTAACATAAATGATAAAGCTAATAGAGATACCACTTGCTAGAGACAACAATATATTAGTCAAGATGTTATTGCCATTTCAATACACCTAAACTCATAGCTTAACCATTACAAGAAGTCCAGATTTTAACAAACACAAAAATAATATAACATTACAATAACATACATCATATGGAAACATATTATTAGCAAGAACCAATTACACTTTACAAAATAAGGCAACAAACCATATGGAGAAATTGATGTCAAAACATATTGTAATACAACAAAGTGAGGATTGTAATTTTTACCCCTGACTCTTAGGAGCATGGTATCCAACTATTAAACAGTAACCAAAGACATTAATCTAGATTCTAGAGATAAACACATAGTTTTAAAAAAACTAAACCATAACGCAGATAGTATAAGATACACAAGAAAATCAATCTTCTAAAGCAAATTAGATGTGGCACATGGCAAGCAAAACATGCTAACCAAGGCCAAAATCCAACATAACATACCTCGCCACTGATGACTTCATTAACCAATTGTTTTGCAGACTCAATTTGTTCAGGGGTCCCTTCAATTTTTAATGTTCTCTCTGTGGATG